TCGTGTGCGTTGTTTCTGTACCCACGGTTGCCAACCTCTTCCCTTTGGAGTGTAACAGCGGGATCGTGCCGAATTCGGTAACAAGCTGTTCGTTGTGGAGATCAATCAAGGCCCTTAAGCTGCGTAAGATATCTGCCCCCACTATAGTCTGACTCGTGTCTTTTGTTATGACAAATGGGTGCTTGAATATACTATTTCCAACGCGGACCGATTGTTCGGCTACTCCGTCTACCTTCAACCGGTGATCCCAGACTGTTTTCACAGCTGCATTCCACGTTTCCAGGAGCTCGTTTGGNGTTTGGTTGGGGTCTAGCCAAAGACACTGCCGCGCCTGTATCGATCAAGCGTAGTTCTGTGTACCGCTCGATCTCCAAATTGGCCTGTACTGCCCCGCGATCTACTGCTCCAATGATTGTTGTGTTCGAGAGAAGACGCGTGTACGGAATCAATCGTGTATTTGAAGAGAATTTATTATATCTCTCAGGGCAATTTCGCTGCCAATGACCTCGCCTGCCACAATGAAAATATGCATTTGTGTTTTTCTTCCGTCCGAAATTTGATTTGAGTGCCGCCACTTCATCCGTCAGTCTGTCGACTGCGGCCTTCACGTCTTCCGGTGGCTCATTTTTATGGACTTCCTGCGTTCGCACCGCCGCAATTTCCTGATCGATGAATTGCCTCACAACTTCGGCCAGCGTCATTACGCCCATGGTACATGCCACATTGATGAGTTTCGTTTTCTCGCGCGTCTTCCGGGAGGCTCTCTGTGAAACGGTCAAGGAGTAGTTACGAGCGAGCATTCTCATTCAATAGCCCACTCAGGGCCACGGCATGCGAAAGTGGGTCCACACCGACTCCGAGCTGCGCCATCTTGAAGCGACGGAGTGCCTCCTGGCGTTCGGCAGGGGTGTCAAAGCCCGCGATCAGGGCGGCCCACTCCATTTTCTCCGGGCCTCTTCGTGCAGCCTCCAACCCGCGCACGACCCTTGAGGAGAGCTCGGAGAGCCGTCAACTTGCCGCTATCCGTCCGTATTCCGGCCAGCTCCGCCACATCCTCGAACTCCTCCAGGAACATCCGCACATCCCCATACTCGAAGGCTGCTGACCACGAAACTTTCATCCTGATCCTGGCGACGGCACAAATTGTTACATTCCGAAATGGCGGTGCTGGTCCAGGAGAGTTCTCTATTGCAAAATACAGATTGAAGGTCACTAATTTTGCATGAATAACA